TACACATAATACCACAATTTTTCATATCTCTGTTTGTATATAAAGTACGTTGCACATCAATACCATTGGGTGGCCACATGTGGAGTTTTGCCCATTGCTTTATGGTGGCACCACAAGTCACCCTTGAGAGGGCATCTTCATCAGTTTAGTGCAAGTAAGAGCTTAATCTAAATTGACTAAACAACAAAGGTAATCTATTGGCTCAGGTGAGAAGTCCATAGAACATCAGCTTTCAAAACAAGCTGACCTGGGCCTAGGATTACAGTTTGGATGCTGTTTCTGATTCTCTCATATTCCTCTTCTCCAAAAGTCAGTTTCATCTTCAAATTGACTTCCTTCCTGGGGGTACAATGGTAAAATGGCCAGCAGATCTGGCCTTATGCCCACATAATCACATTACTTAGTAAATACCTTTCTAACCAATTAAAAGTCCCTAGAAAAAGTCCTAAGCTTCACCACAAATGAAGCAAATTGGGTGATGTATTTAGAGCTTAAGTATCCAATCATTGTGGACAGAGAAAGCCACAGGTTGACTGGTTGAGGCCCTGACCAATCACAGTGGTGAGGAAGGAAGTTATACATACAGATTTAGAATAGTGGTTCTCAAAGGGTCTTCCCTGGCACCAGCATTCCATGGGAATTTGTTAGAAAAAAATCTATTCTTGGCCCCCTCTCCAGACCTATTCAATCCTAAACTCTGGGAGTGGAATTCAGCAATCCATGTTTAAATAAACCTTGGCCATCAGATCATCCACCTGCGGAGCCCAGAGAGAAGAATGAATTGTATGCATTTCACTGGGCTGTCACACAATTAGAAAATGCTGAAATGGAGACTTGGGAAGTCACTATCAAAATACTTCCCAAGAAATATTAGAGACTGAATTGGAGCAAATTATATTCCACATTCATATAATTATATCAAAATGAACCCCAATATTCTACAATGGACTAATAAAAAAGAGGTTTATTTTGAAAAAAAAAAAACAAACAAACAAACCAACAACAACAACACAAAACTTCCCAAGGGGATAGCTCTTTTTCACTTCTGACTTCCAATGCTGGGGTTGCAGAAATCAGTGCTATAAATTAGCAAATTGGCTTGAAGATGACTTCTGAGACCTGTATTTATGAGGCTAAGGGCTTTGAAGAAAAGGAAATGAGAAGCATCAATCTTAGCATTTTTCTGTGGGCCCTAACCTACTCCTTTCAGAGAATTTGGAGAAATAATGTTTCAAGTATTTGAAAGAAGTAAAGCTATATAGGATTTAAAACTGAAGAAATTATTCTCTAAAATAGTTTCTTAATCATGACTAATCCTAAGAATCAACTATAATAAAGTTACATATACAGATCCCGTGGCCCCACCTTGGACCTACTGATTCAGGGTCAAGGAAGGGCCTGGGAATCTGTACCAAGAACAGTAATTTCTTTTTCTCCTTTCTTTAACCTACTCTCTCACTACTGATGCCTCTAACTAATTTCTCTTCCTCTAGTCTTAGTCTACTCTACCCCACAAAGAAGCCACCCCTCATATCACTGACAAAGTAATCTTTCTTAAAAAACTAACAAAACTGGATGTGAGACCTATGATCAAAATCTGTAACAAGGCCTTGCCATGCTTCATAAGATAAAATCTAAAGTCTCTGTGTATCATACTAGGCTCAACCAAATCCTGTCCTTCCTTTTCTTCTGCCTTACTTCCCATCATTAGTCCAATTGAGTCTACCCATCCTGAGTCTCTTACACTGCCTAGAATACATGCTGCTCTTGTGCTTTAATTCCCTCTGCTCATCAGGTCTCTCCTTCCTTCTTTCCAAGTGTTCAGTGAGGTAAATGCTAGGTTATGCTGATGTAACAAAATATCAGGAGATGAAGAAGCCAGAATTTATCTCTTATTCACTCTATGTCAAGGTTGACAAGTTTTTTTTCTATAAAGACAAGTGATAAATAGTTTAGGCTTGATAAGCAATATATAGTTTCTGTTGCTGCTGCTTTTTCTTTTATTTCTTCCATATTTTTTGTAAACCTTTAAAAATATTTTTAAAAATCATTCTTATTCATAGATCATATAAAAATCAATCACTTGCTAGACTTAGTCCATGAGTTCTAGTTTGCTGACCCCTAATGTATGTAGCCATTTCCAGAGACATATAGGCAGCCGGGAGCTACTTAGATGAGTAGTTCTGAGTCACTCAGAGACCTGGGCTAATGAAACAGCACCTTTGGAATGTTTTTTTGTCACCGTACAGACAAAAAGAGTCTCACACAAGGAATAAATGCCTGTCTGGAAGAGGCATCTATAACTTTTGCTCACAAATTAGCCGAAGTTAGTCTTTAAAACAACCCAACCATCAGGGGGCTAGGTATTGCAATCCAATCATGTGTCCAGAAGGAGGAGAATTTAAATTACTTGGTAAAAATCATGAGTATGCTCAGCTCTGCAACAGATCTCTGTAAAGCCTTTTCTGGTACCCTCATACTGAAGCCAGATTAGCTGCTCTTTCTTTGTAATCAATTTTATAGCCCCTTGAGCATCTCTGCCTTATCGTTCAGTAATGGAGCACTGCAGTTGCCTACTTGTTTGTCTCTCCCACCAGATTCTCAGGCCGCTCAGATAACCGCCTCCATATGCCCAAGACCTTGCAAATAACCTACCTTCCTGGGATGTTCAGTGTGTGTTACTTAAACAAACCAATGAATGTGGTGAATTGTGGGAGAGAATGGGATTACCTATGCATTTACCGGAACACTTCTAGAAGCCAGCAGTATCAACTTCTTTAAGCTTAGTTAGTTCATCCACATCAATCTCCACTCATGATTGACTTATTATTTTACTACTGGTTACTTTCTATACCAATTAAATACATTCTTTCTCTTGTCTCATCTACTCTTTGCAAAGAGCTGGTTTTTGAAACCACAGAACACTCTGATATTATGTGGGTTGATTTTTTTTTTTCCAGTTTATAGGTCAGAGGCAGGCACAGAGAAACCCAGTTATTTTTTCCAAGATACACATCCAATCAGAGAGTTTATACTTCCCTTTGATTCAACAAAAAGGTAAAGGATTGAACACAGAGCTGTAGCTAAGTTTGCCAACAGTTTATTTATGCTAGAAAGCATAATACATGTTTGTCAAAGATAAGTCTTATTGTCCTATATCAATGTTTAGCTTGTAGTGTACATTTCTCACTGAATAAAATGTTAAAAACAAACTACATCATTCTTTATTAATGCTGTGCCTTTTCATGTTGATTCCATCCATGCCCTCTACTCCCTTTTGTCCTCAGTAAAGTGGAAATGGCCTTTTCCCAACCTCAAGAAAACTGAACACATCATGCACCTAGGGTTTGACCATTCACCTCAGTGCCTGTGAGGTGGACAGCACAAGCATGCATTTGCACTACCAAATGGCACAAATTTGTTTCACATGCAACATGTGTGTGGCTCCTGCAGTTTGTATTGATCATGTAACTACAGAATGAGCAAAGTAGCATTCACAATGAGCTGGAGTACAAGTCTTCATCTATACATCAAATAAAGCCACTTCATGTTTTTCAGTCACAATCTGGATAAACCCCAGATAAACCAAAATGTATCCTGACTCAGAATTTTCCTCATCTCTCTGTCTCCTGGGGGTGGTAAATTCCCAAATAAACATCCCTTCTGCTGACTAGCTTTGACAAATGCCCAGGAGAACCAGGGCAAGGAGAATACAGCTAGGTAGTGTCCTCTACTCCTCGGATCAGCAACAGAATAGAGCCAGGACATGATATTATTGAAATCTGCCAAGTTTGAGTCATTCAAGGTAAAAACAACTTTAAAAAAAAGTATAAAAACTCTTCAATGAAGGTGCAATAACTCCCACTCTTGTTAACTGCTCAATGGGCCACAACAGACAACGCACCTCAATCAGGGGAAATAAACTGAAGTGCACAAAAAGCAAATTATAGGCTCAGGAACTGTTTGGCACAAAACAAAGATCAGTCCTTCTAGGAGTGTTGCTTTTGCTTCCGTTTTTCTTTCCTTAAGCCTTGTAATTGAATGTTACAAAGTGTATCAAGAAAAAAAAAAAATCTACTGGGGTCCCCTTCCCCCAAACCAGAAAGGTTAAGCTTTTAATTACAGGCCCTCAAACTATCATTTTGTGCAATTAGCAATTAACTATAATGGTTGATGAGAGAATGCAGAGCTGCGCTAGCAATTTCCCTCCTCCCCATCCCAGACTGGGTTATTTTAGTCTTGTTCTATTACAGAGAACAAGCCACAACCGCGCGCTCTCTCGCTCTCTCTTTCTCTCACTTAAAGACACATTTAATTTTTAGCAAAATGACATCTCAGCGTGCGATTGATAGGCATCCCGAACCCCACATCAGAGCAGCACAAACGTTTGGAACCCCCTCTCTTTGTCACTTTCTAGTTGGAGAAAGGAGGCCCGAGAAGACGCTACCTACCGGCCCCAAACCAGCCTCTGGTAGAGAGGGTGGTAGAGAGATGCTTGGTGCCTCTAGAAGGTGCAACTCGTCCCCCCCACCCCCACCCCCCTCGCTGCAAGCCCCGTTATTGGGGAGGCGGTGGCAATAGCAGCAATAGTTGCATCAGCGCTAACTGCTGCCGCTGCTGCATTTACTGTTGGCGGCTGCCGGAGGGTACAGTAATGACTGTAGGGAGCGCACAGCTGCTGCGGCGGCAGGTTCCCTGGATCAGGAAATTAGGACAGGCACCCGGGATTGGAGGCGAGGGCGGTGCGCGAGCCAACCAGCGGCCGCCCCGGCCCCCCGTGAGCCCCGGGCGGACGCGCCGGGCCCCTGGAGCAGTCCGGATGGCGGCGGCAGCCACGGCCACTGCCACTCACGCAAGCACGCTCACACTTGCACACACACTCGCACACCCCCGGCGCAGGCACCCGGCTGCTTGGCGCGTGTGAGACCAGCGCGAGGAGGAGGGCTCCAGCCACCGCCCCCCCGCTGACCACTCCCCCTCCTGCCCCCTCCCGGCTCCTCACCCCGCGCTCCAGCCGCTGCCAGTGTGGGTGCTCCGCGGCTGGCTCCTCTCTGGTGTCTTCTCCTTTGCTCTCGGCTCCCCACCCCCTCTCCCTCCCCCCTTCTCCTGTACCCTCCCCTCCCCTCCCCTTCCCTCCCCTCTTCTGCAGCGCCTGCATTATTTTCCGCCCGCAGCCTCGGCTTGCACCGCTGCTGCAGCCCGGGGAGGTGGGTGGGCGGGCTGGCTGGTGGGGAGGAGATTGTGCAAGTTGTAGGGGAGGGGGTGCCCTCTTCTCCCCCACTCCCTTTCCCCCCCTCTAACTCCTTCCCCCTCCTCTTCCCTTTCCCCCTCCCCGCCCCCACCTCCTTCCTCCTTTCCGAAGGGCTGGTAACTTGTTGTGCGGAGCGAACGGCGGCGGCGGCGGCACCATCCAGGCGGGCACCATGGGCACGTCCGCGCGCTGGGCGCTCTGGCTGTTGCTCGCGCTGTGCTGGGCGCCCGCGGACAGCGGCGCCACTGGAGCCGGTGAGTGGGGACGCACCCCTCCGCAGACGGCCTGGAGCAAACCAGGGTGCCGGGAATATGTGTGGGGGCCCTAGGCGTCGGTCTTCTCTAGCCCACCCCCCTCCTAGGAGGCGCCGCTCCGCTCTCCTCTTTTCCCTCCCCACCCTGGTGGCGCTTCTGAGCTGTCAGCGCCTCGGCTACAGGGAACCGAGCTTGGGGGACAGTGGGGTTTTGGGTGTCCTAAACCCTCGCTTGAACTAGTCTTCATTCCCTTATGCCCCCTCCCCCAGAGCTACTGCTTTGCCTCGTTTTTCACACCCTTGACAGGAGCTGGGGACTATGAGCTTCTGAGCCACTGAACAATGGTTCTGCCTCCTCTGCCAGGCGGAGTGTTAGGAAGAAGGCAGAGAGCCGGGCCTGGCCGAGAGGTGCGCGACAGCCCAGGGCGCGCCCCTCGGACTTAAGTAGGGTGAGAGCCTACAACGGATGGAGGTGGGCATCTCCAAGGATGCGGGGCGCCAGGTGCTGGCCGGGGCAGGGAGTCCCCCAGCAGCCGTGAGCTGACGCACGTTCGGTGGGCGGCAGCCCTGGAGGCTCCGCGGAGCCGCCAGAAGTGCGCAGCCTGCGCACCCCAACTGCGACTCCCCAGGCCCCAAGCCGTCTCTGTGGCGTGCGGGTTAGAGTGTGGCTTTCAAAAGGGCTCTCCTTGAGGTGCTTCTCCACACCTCTTTCCACTCCGGGGCGGCGTGTGGAAACCTCTTGGTATATGTACATGCTCCTGATGCAGCTGAACGGGGGAGAGGGGTTGGACACAGACTTAATCAGGTTAGTTTGCCGATCCTGTTTCTCACTGGGCTTCCTCCAGAGGAACCGAGTCCTAATCTAATGACTGTAATTAGCCTTCATTCTAAACAATAGATCAAAAGAGTAGCGTGAGAGCTGGTGTATGGTTGTGGCTTGTTGTGAAAGGCGGGGGTGACTACCCTTGAGTCCCGGGGGTCAGCTGCATTGGGCCTGGAAGCCCTGTCCAGTGTCCAGCCACTCTCCCACTTGGGCCATACAACTTCCCTGAGCAGGCGACAGCAAGCCTATCTTAAGAAGGTTTGGTCAGTGTCTTGGCGGGTCCCTGAAGTGATCTTAAGACGTGACACAAAGGGGCTTGCTTGCCAGCCAGTTCTAGGGAAAGGGGACAGAAAGCTGTCTCAGCCCTTAATACCCATTCCAGAGTCCTTACCTCCTATCGCCTGGTGGCTTAGGAGGCCCGCCCGCCTGCCTGCAGTCACGTGTCTCTTGAAGTGAGAGTGAACTTTCAAATGTGTGGTCAAGCAGCCTCTCCGGTAATACTTGTGGTTTGTAAAAATTCCGAATGCCCCCTGCCCTTTGGTTCGACTGTCCGGAGCGTGTGAAACTGGGGCGGGCTTTTCAGTTCTTTGCGATTGGTTGGCTGCCCGATCGCGTTTAGGTGGGTCACGTGGCTCCACGGACTCTTAATTTAGCTGCCTGAGAAATGTTATCTTTAAGAGAAAGTAAGAAAGCACAGGTTACTAGCGGGCTGTAACCTCAAAGGCTTTCCTCTGTCTGAACTCTGAAAAAGGCGAGAGTGTCCTGAAGGTGGAATGTGACCTGTAAGGAAGGAACCTAAGAGCCCAGAAAAGCCCTTTCAGACATTAACAATCATTGATGGATGAGTAATACTAACTTATTAAACGATCTCTCAGAATAATGCCAGGACTTGCATTATATTTTTTGCAAACATTTCAAAACACTAAATTACACCAGAAACTGCCTACAATTATCCAAGCAAGTGAGGGAAAATATTGTTTTTTTTTTTTTTTTTTTTTTTTTTTTGCTGCGCATCCCTTTATATTCTGGGATTTTAAGAAATACTAACTTTGCTTTAGAGGTTAATGTTCCCCTGTAGAATGCGAGGAATACACCTAAACGGTGGAAATGAATTCGTCAAAGCCATATGTTGGTCTTGAATTAGATAGGTGAGGATCCCTTTATTACATGTGAAATAAGGGACATGCCGTGTACAGTGGAAAAGATACCCATGCAAACCTAAATTTGTCAAAAGGAAAGAAGTAGTTCCTTTCTGAACTGGAGCAGATTTGGCTGAGGCAGATATTGATCCCAAGCCAACCCAGACTGGCTCCTGTCTTAAGTTCAAAGTCCCAGGACATGTGAACTGACTTTCTGCCCTTGGTATTCTATTCTTACCATTTCTCTCCAACTCTCCTGCCCCCCAGCACACACTTACTTTGCTGGTCCAGAATACTGTAGGACAAGGCAGGTATGCACAAGACTCAGGGCAAAGAGCTTAAGTGAAGACAGCAAGAGAAGTTAGTATACTTGGTTACAAATTACCTGGGGGTTCTAGGACATTTTCCTCCCACCTAGATATGGATTAAGATCTTGGGTACCATACATTCTTCAAGGCTAGAGTCTAGAAGAATTAAGATTTGTGAGAGCTATTCAGATACGGTTAGCAACAAGCAGAAGAATAGGAAGAAACTTCTTTTATTGTGGGGAGTGGGTTGATATAAAATTGGCAGTATTAATAGACCTAAAGATTAAAAAAAAAAAAAAAACAGACACTGAGAAAAGAAACCTGACCTGTCTAGATAGAACTAAGAGAAGGTACAATAATGATGGTAATCTTTGCCTAAGTCCAAGAATGGGACATGTTAACAGGGACTTTAAAAACAAGTCACTAGAAATTATATTGTTAAAAATATAAAACAATAAATCTCACCATTATGTGTAATTATGCACCATTTTTTTAAAAAAGGAAGAAAAACCAGGTAACCAGCTAAGCCCTTGTAGGCAATGAGAATTTCTTGAAACAGTTTTGTCCCCTCAATTATCCTGTTGCTCCCTTCACTTGGCACTTACCTGTAGTGCTTGTCCTATGTTATTTGACTTTTGCTTTTAGTGCTCACGTCTTCAGATACCTAAAGCATGCATATCAAGGCCAAGTTCAGTACAGCTGTCAAATGTTAAGACTTCAATACAACAAAGTGCATATTTAAACACTCAGCATAGCTAGCAAAGGTGGCAGCCTCCATCATCAAAAGAAATACAGCCCTGATTGAAGTGTTTGTTCTTTTTATAAAAATTGAATAACCATGTGCTTGACTTGAATTTTTGTTATAGTCCTGAAAGAGGTGAAAAGTCCTTGTGAGCCCCTTCTTTTCCAGGAGGAGTATCAAACTGATATGACAAAACTAGAGTAGAGCAGGAACCGGCCATATGGCTTCAGGTTTTGATCCAAAAACCCTTAAACTTGGCACACAACATAGAAATATAGATAATTCATAGTAAATAGCTGGGCCATTTTCTATTTCTCACAGACTGTGTATCATGTTCTTCTCAATACAGGGACTAGTGATCTAGAGGAGGCTGTTACCTATATCAGGTTACAATTAGCTTCAATTTGCATTGGGACCTTCCTTTGGAAAGCCACATTTGCATGCTAGCCTATTAGATATTAAATGCATTACAGGGCCATGAGGTCTATAATGATCCTCAGAATATGCATACTTGCCTCATGAGAGCATCTCATGGTTAGACCAAATCAACTGCCCCTCGTGTGGTTAGTTGATAGATTCAAAATTGCTTGGTTTATTCCCTTCTAATTTGATCTCAAGAGAATACCCAGGCCACAAACTACTTTCTAGATATACACTCCAAAAAATGCTTTCTTTGAGATTATGGGTGAGATGTACTTGTTGAACAGAAATAAGTGGTCAGGGACAAACCCCTGTCCCAAGCTAAAGATGGGCAAATCTAAGGAATGGCAATATTTCTGAGGACTTAGTGTCAAGTCTAAGAGAATTTGGCTTTGTAAGTGAAAACTATCTCAATTTCACTCTATGCATTTATCAATCTAAATTAGCATCTCTTTGCTATCCTCTGCTGTTGGCTCAAAATAAAAACATTGAACACTGTTTCTACCAATGCGTTAGACACACTAACAGCTCTGTGGATGCTAAATAAGATGGCAGGTGATACGTTAAACTTAGCCCAGTTTCCCTTTCATATGATGTCTCCTAGGAAAACTTGGGCCTGCTAGTTATTTTGAGGTTTTCAATTAACAGTTAAGCAAGAGAGTGCCTGTTAGGTGCTGTCAGAGTAGGTACAGAGATTCTGCTAGAAATTTCTTCATGTTTGTTCAGACATCCTTTGCCTGCTTTGAACGTTAACCTCTAAAGCTGTATGGCTATGGAAATGAGTATGCCTAGCCCTGTATTGAAGAGAGAACTTTAGGGAAAGAAACTACAGAATGGGGCCATCGGCTAGGAATGGCTGATCTGCCACCCTCTGGGGGTATATGGGTTAGCCCTGAAGTCCAGGAGTCTTAATAGGTCTAGACATAATGTTGGGAATTGGGTGTGAGTATGTGAGGGGAAGTGAAACTTGCCAAGCAAGGGAAATCATAAAGCCTTGGTGATCAACGATGTTTGCATGTTACTTCATGTGTTACAACTTAATATAGTTCCCAATATGGTGAGTGAATAGGATTCCTATTTTATAGACTGCCTCTAATCTTTAGTATTCTTAAGAAAGTTTTCCCAAGACCTGAGTTACTAAAGGATCTCTAAGTCTAATAAATAGGTTATAAACTGAAGCCAGTCTCCATTGTACATCTGCTTGAAACCAGTAGATGTACACCCACGGAGCACCCACCCATATGTTGTATGGCACCAGACAGACGTAGGCAACACAGTGACCACGGAGTTCATGGCATTTCTTCTAGTGGGGAAGTCAAACTGGGAATTCAGTGATCCAAAGACATACTAGGATAGGAGCTCTGAATTAAAGGGAGTAGATCTGGTATTTAAGATTTAAACATGAAAGCAATAAATGGCAGCTGAAGATTGCCAGAGTTCCCATATACTATTGGAATTATAGCTCATGAAGTTTCACTAAATTCTCCAAGAACTTAGACTTTAACATGATGCCAGGAATTATCCCATCTCTGCAGATGATCTTGCAAAGCTGATACAACTCAAGCAACA